CAAATTGGGCTTGTCACCTACAAACTGATTCACTGGGCATCTGACTAGACCTCTCGTGTGTACCATGGTCCAGAGGATCAACCAGGCTGCCCTGTGCCTCGTGCATATAAATCTTTGGAGGATCCCAGGGGTCATGACAAGAACACCTGGTTCCAAACATAGGTCAGGCGCTAAGTTAGCACATGGCTCCTTTGTGGGGTGTATCAGCACATACTGAGCAGTGCTGAACTGGTGGTCATCTAGGTACTGTTGTTTCCCCTACCCTGGTTTTTGAGACCTGAATTTGATTTGGCCAACCAAGATAATTGACAAGTGCTCCATCTGCTCCACACCCTAGTCCCCCCCCTCCCCCCCCCCAAAAAAAAAAGAAAGAAAGAAAAGAAGAACAAATAGTTGAGGATATTGGATGTCTTTCTTGTCCTCCCTCCCTTCTCTGTAGTTTTTCAGTTACACATAGGTAGCCTAAAAGCCAGTTCGAGAAGAAATCTTTCCAAATCTGAAAACTTGTGCTCTTAAGAGTCCAAGAACACTGTCATGCTCCTTCTGCCTTTCCTTACTTCATCTGGTGGATTTGTAGTTTTATTGGTTTTTCAGTTACTGGGCACAGATGTTTTAAGCCCTTCTTTATTATAGCTCAAGCTTGTTTATATAATTTCAGCTTTATGTGCATGGCCCAGCGTATTTCTGCAACTCTCTCCACAGTTCTCCATTCAGATTATTCATTATTGCATTTTTAAAATGAAGATCCCATAAATCATATTGGCCAATCTTGACCCCCTGTGACTATCATGTATAGAAATGCAAAATTATAACTGCATGTCCCATTGCTACAGTATATCTGAAAATGTACACATCAGAATAGGATATTTTTTGTACTTCTCTAACGTGTAGGTTATGGCAGGACAGAATGTTCCCAGTTGTTATAATCATAGCTGCTGTTAGTTCATACTTGGACAACTGACTTGTCCACATTAACTTTTGTCATTGTGACAGATAAGCACTGATGTGTGTGGCTTTAAAAAAAATACCTTCTGTTTATTAATCGGGAAAGCAGTTATCATCTTCATCTAATAGAGTGATTCAACTTTGAGCAATACTAGTAGTCAAGCATACCTTAATTGAATCACAGAAGGTATGCATTGTGCTAAAATGAGGAGTCTGGAAGGCAAAAAAAGCCCAGTTGATTAAATGGTAAGAAATAAAATCATAGGAAAGTAGGGCTGAAAGGTCATCAGTTATCATGAGATCATCTAGTCCAGGCCCCCGCTTGAGGCAACTTGGTCAGGGATAATCCTTTCTCAGCCAACTGCCTGTGATCTACTCGTGTGCAATCTCCACCCTTGGAAACTCTCTAGGTAGCCTGTTATAACACTTGACCATGCTCTTAGTCAGAAAATTCTTCTTAGTCACCAACCTAAACTTATCCTGTTTCAGTTTGGGACTGTGGCTCCTAGTTCTGTACCCCATAGCCTTTCTTCCCTGGGTATCTCAATCTTTTCTTTATAATGACCCTATAATTACCTTTATAATCATGTATTTGAATGCTGTTATCAATTTTCTCTTTTCCAGACTAAACAAACCTAGTTCTCTTAGACTTCCCTCATAAGTCATGTTTCCCAGACCTCTAATAATTTTTACTGCTTTTTGCTGGACCCTTTCCAATCTATCCACAAGTTTCTTGAAGTGCGTGGTCCAAAACTGGACACAGTAGTTTAAGTAAAACCTCACCAGTGCTTAGTACAGGAGAAGAATATCTTCTCTTGGTTTTTCAAGTGACACCCTTGCCAATAAAACCCAATATGCTTTTGTGTTTTTTTGCAATAAGAGCACATTGACTCGTATTCAGTTTAGGGTCTATAGTAAGTCCCAGTTCCTTCTCTCCAGTCCTGTAACCTAGGTAGTCATTCTCCAGTCTGTACTGTGTGGAATTATTCTGACCCAAGTCTTGCACTTATCTTTCTTGATTTTCATTTGATTTATTGTGGATCATTTCTCCAGTTTATTCAGACTGTTCTGAGTCATAGCCCTACCTTCCAAAGTATGTACTGCTCCAGACAACTTGGTGTCACCTGCATATTTGGTAAGTATGCACTCCATCCCACAGTCAAAATAATTAGTGAAGATGTTGAACAGTACCAGACCCAGGACATATCCCTGCAGAACCCTACTTGATACTTCCTCTCACCTTGGCATTAAGCTAGTAAGGACTTCTTGTGGAGTATGATGATCCAACCAGTTATGTATCCACCTTATAGTATTTTTTCTTAGTCTGTATTTTCTTAGCTTGTTAATGAGACTGTCATGGAAGACAGTGTTAGAAGTAGGGATGCACTAATAAAGATTTTCAGGCCAATACCGATGGCCGATTTATTAACGAGCCATATCGGCCGATACCGATCTGATTGCCGATATGCAGCCCTGCAGCTTGGAGAGCAGCATCCCTCACCATCCCCCACTTCCCCCCTCAGACTTACCGGCCAGATGCTGCTCTAGATGCTGCCTGGCTGCATTCCTGGCTGTGTGCATGTTGTGGCTGCACACTTGCATGCAGCATTTATCAGTGAAATTATCAGCCAAAAATAGATGATTGCTGATACTGTTAATTTCCATTTTATTGTTGTTAATATGATATAGATTCATAGATTAAGGGTCGGAAGGGACCTAGTAGATCTTCTAGCCCGACCCCCCCACCAGGGCGGGAGAACAACAAAAAACCCCAAAAAGAGAAACGGGACTCAAATGAGTCCAGCCAGGTAGGCATCCAGCCTCTTCTTAAAGACCGCCAGGGTAGGGGCCAGCACCACTTCCCTTGGAAGTTGGTTCCAGCTCCTAGCCGCCCTAACTGTGAAGTAGTTTTTGCGGATGTCCAATCTATACCTCCTCTCCATCAGCTTGTGCCCATTACTCCTTGTTATGCCAGCGGGCGCTAGGGGAAACAGCGTCTCCCCCAAACCCTTCTGGTCCCCCCTAGTGAGTCTATAGACGGTCACCAGGTCCCCCCTCAGCCTTCTCTTGTGGAGGCTGAATAGGTTCAGGTCCCGCAGTCTCTCACTGTAGGGTCTGCCCTGTTGTCCCCGGATCATGCGGGTGGCCCTCCTCTGGACCCTCTCCATATTGTCCACATCCCTCTTGAAATGGGGCGCACAGAACTGGACACAATACTCCAGCTGTGGCCTGACCAGCGTCGCGTAGAGGGGGAGGATCACCTCCTTGGCTCTACTCGAGATGCACCTGTGGATGCATGACAAGGTCCGGTTAGCCCTGCCAACCATGACCTCGCATTGTCGGCCCATGTTCATCCTGGAGTCAATAACGACTCCAAGATCTCTTGGACTGATGTATTGGTGCATCTCTAGTTAGAAGCCTTGTTAAGTCAAGGATATTGCATCCAATTCTCTACCTAGTTTCTCCCCATATAGACAGAAATCAGGTTAGGCATGACTTGCTCTTGGTGAATCCATAATAGCTGTTCCTGATTACTTTGTTCTCCTTTAGGTGCATCACAGCAGATTCCTTGAGGACCTGCTTCACAGTCTTATTGGTGTTGAAGTCAGGCTAACTGTAATTCTCCAAATTCTCATTTCTTCCTTTTCCAAACATACAGGATCTCACCTGATTTCCCCAAGTCCTTGAAGAGGATAACCATGGCTCCAGAATTACCTCTGCTAGTTCCTTTATACTCGAGGGCATATCCATTTCAGGATGCTAGCATTCTTTAGTTTGTGAGACGGGGTTGGGAATTTACCTACAGCAGAGTCAACAATTGGTTTGAAAATAAGTGTGCTAAATTAGTTTAAAAGAAACTAAAAGTTAGAAGAAAAACTTCTTCGTATAAACATACTAGCAGTTTGGTATGCCATTACTTCATGACTTCTGTATCAGATGTTGCCAGAGTCAAAATGAAGATGAACAACATAACTTCTCTGAATCACTTGCCATCCAAAAAGATACTGAAGAGAAATACCCATCTGTCTTAATTGGCACTTGTTCATGAGTGTCCTCAGGAGGGTGTTGGAGCCAGTAGTTGGAAAAGCAACAGGTTACCAATATTAGGTGGTATTCATCAAAAAAGTTTTGAAATAAGGGGATGAAAAGCTAACAAATGGATGGTCTTGCATGACCTGACTGTTATACTGCCAAGTTGAAGAGTAGTGAACTTCACATAAGAAGACTGGAGTAATCTGAAAATACAATCACGAAGTTTTAGGTAGCTGAGAAAATTGGTTGAATTGTAATTAAATAGAATTAAAAAAAACTTGGAAGAGTATTATTTTTTCCCTCCCCCAAATCTTTGGTACCAGTGTCCACACTTAGCTTTTTGTGGATTGCCATATCAAACTTTTAAATGAGGAATCGTAAGGGTGATTCATGAACTACCAGTTGTCCAGACCACAGTTTGAGAAATACTGGTCTCTAGAAGAGCTTGACTCCTTTCTGTAAAGGAAAATCTTTCATAGACTGGAATTTTCAGCATATTGGCAAAACAATGGATCAAGAAGCACTTGAAAAAAAATCTATTTAGATTTGCTAGAAAAATTTAACCACAAGTCTCACAGGGATAAAGAAACTGATGCATAATAATCCCAAGTTAGAAACTAGTATGCAGACAGGATCTACAATAGGTGAGCTACTAGTGAAAGTAATATGTATCAACAAGTACTACGCTGTGTCCTCTGGGGTGTAGAGATGAAACAGAATGATGGAGACAAGACAGACGTACTGCCACCACTGTCTTGGAATAACACAGCTGTGCTCTGCACCTGTACTTGATTGTGTGACCAAATAATCTCTCTACTTGAGAACTTGATTTATACTGTTAGATTCCAATTAGTGATGATTAAATATACATTTGAATTTGAATGGGTTTATCTTGTTTAGAGTACAGTTGCCCCAGATCAACACATCTTCAACTAATCCAACAAAATTGAATACAGTTGCTAGTACGTGGGTCAGTGTTATGGCCTATTTAAGCATTTTGTGTTAATATTTTATCTTGACAGGTGCAAAGAATTTTACGTGAACGATTTTGTCACCAGCACCCTAATGGAAAGCTATTTGGGGTCGAACCTCAATACAAGTAAGTATACAGTTTCAGAGACAATGCTTTGCTATTTTGACATGAGTTTGTGTTATGTAGAAAACTCTTCTTTACATGTACCTTGGCCTTATGCTTTTTGATTGTTTTTTGTATTTAAGTAGTGATTTTAAAAATACTTTGAAATTCCTTTAAATTTAATTCAGTATGTAAAAGGCCTATTCTGTCAGAGTGTGAGACTTGCATCCTGAGTTTTTGAAGGTGCAGTTAGGACTGAGATTTTTCAGGTATGATTTAAACCATAAAAAAACAAAATTAAAATAAATTAAAAATCCACTTTAATGGTTAAACTTCTAATTCCACTTTTACATCCCAAGTATAGTCATTCCACTTTATTAATCTGGGCTATTGCTAACTTTCTACAATTCAAGGAAGAAGGTTTCAAGGATGAGTGGACTTTTAGATCTTCCCCCGCTACCCCTTTCCACAATCACCTTGCTTGTTGCTCTGACAAATCACCCACCTCAGTTACTTTCTTTCCCTCTGATTTCCTTCAAAATCCTTTCCTTTTATTTCAAACCTTGTATCTAGCTCTTCCAAACCTTGTAATTTAATAACATTTTCTGTTTTCCCATAATATATTGGCAGTGTCCAAGCCCACTGCCCCTTCCACTCTGTCTCATTATAGGTCCATCCTCCATAGCTATTTCCCCACCCCAAATCTGCAGAAATTTCCCACTTTCCCACTTCCTTCTGATGCTTCCCTCCTTACCATTCTAACAGTGTGCATAGATAAACGTCTCAGTTTGGAACTTGTTACCTTCCACACTCTTGTCCCCTGTATCATTCCTTCCTGACAATCCATGCTGTTTTAGAACCCCAGAAGAACATACAAATCAGTCTCTGGATTGTCCTGCTTTGAATCCTTGATGAAGGATATACTACTCCCACGAACAGCACAATAGGTAGCAACACCTCTTTCACCAGCTTCACTTTTCCTGCATATGACAAACCTCTTGTGTTCCAAAACAGTAAAATTTTCCTAACCTGTGACCCTATCTCTTCTCATGCTTTTGTGCCTTTCCCTTCTATATCAGGAACTACCCCTCAGATTTTTATCCGATTCTTAACTACCCTCATGCAAAATTTCCCTAATCTCCCAAATTCTGATCCTTAACACCTTGCCCTCAGTCTTGTTTACTTTTGCCCCTGAAGCTTTGCCATAGTCTTCCATATGTTTCAGGATTCTAATGAGACTATCTTGCACCATCACATTAGTGCCATGCACATACAGTGAGCATTTCACTTTCCCTCCCCTACTTGTTCTTCTCTCAAACATACACCACCATTCCCACCTGCTTTTATAGCAATTCTTAAAGGTTCTCCATTCCTTGTACTCCTCCGTAAACTTCATACACAATTTTTTGTTGTGAAGCAGCTTAACGTTCAATTTCCAGAGGGCCTTTTGCTTTCCCATTTCCCATCTACACCCATAGCAATTGATGGTTACTAAAACTGATATCTTGTATCTCTTTTATTGTGCACTGCCATTACTTCCAAGACTAAAACAAAATAAATCCTTGAAGTTTTCCTTCCTCCTGGCTCTACTCTTGTATGTATTTTCTCTCCTGCCCACTTATCCTTGTAACCTTCTTCCTTGATAATTTTCTTTAACATCTTCAAGGAACTGTCTAATTCTCCCCCCCAGTCTCCTTTCTCAATTATACAGTTGAAGTTGCCTACTATGACTCTGTGTGTCCCCCCACACAGTGTCCATTTTCAACTTCCAGAATAAAGCCACCCTTCCCTCCCTTTTCCCCGGATGTATATATGTTAAACAGCTCTGCCTCCATCTCTTTTGTCTACAACAACATCCTTCTGCAGTCTTCCTTCTACTAACACTTGCACTTGCTTGACTTTAACCCCTGGGTTTTTAAATAGCACTGCCACCCCTGCTGCTTTGTTCACATTTGTCCCCATCTATCATGACTGCCCCAAACCCCATCTCTTCTCCAGATATTTATGCTCACTACCCCACATTACATCCACATCAATAGACCTTGAAGTTGCTGCCATTCAATCCCACCTCTTCCGTGTCAATAATCTTCTCACATATAAAGTTGCAACACACAACACCATGATAAAGAAAAGGTGGAAGCTACTGGTCCTCATCTCTCTCATTTTACAGGTCATCCACGTCACTGCTAAGTGACTCTGTCCCTCCCCCCTTCTTCATCCCCCTCGCTCTTACTAGTTTTCCAGGGCTTCTATATTGAGAGAGGCAGCTGCTGTCCCACCCTCCACCGCCCGCCAAACACTACTTCCTTCTGGCTCAGCATACCCTTCCATCTTCATTTAAGAAGCACCATTCCCCCAGTGTTGCTTCTCCTTTCTCCCCTTTTCCATGACAACCTTTGTTTCTTCCTTTTTCCTACCTGTGGCTCCGCCCCTTTCCCTTTCTCTAAAACGGCAATTTCTTCTTGGTCAATCTCTGGGATTTCTTATCTCTACTTCTATTTCCATGTTCATGCTTTCATGTCCCTCTTCCCTCTCCTCTTCTAGTTGTTGTGCTGCTACCACAACACTCATTCCACCCCTTTTCACCGCCAGTGAATATTTCCCACCAATATTTCCTTCTGAATCCATCCTGGCCTCCCCCACCTCTTTTTCCTTCTCGCTTATCTGATCAGAGTCATCCCACCTTTTAGGTCGTGCTCTGTTAGATAAAGAATCTGGGCATCTGTTTTGCATCTGCCTTTCCTTTTGACATCCCACTTTTCAGCATGCATGGGATTTGTGCCCTCACCCACCACACCAGTAGCAAATGGTTAAGACACAATAGGCTGCCGTATGTCCTTCCTGCCCTCATTTGTTTGCTACATTGACGGGGCTGCCTGTGGTATATGATGTAGCCCTGGTGCCCTCCTACATGAATAACTGACGGCAGGTGCCTCACCTCTCCCAGGCTCCCCTCCTCCTCACTTAAAATCACTCACACCCAAAATGCCCCAGACCACACATTATATTTGTGTCTCACTTTTTCCACAAACATTACTCTGGTCTCTCCGCTTCAACCATCTCTCCACATCCATTTCCTCAAGGATGTCCAAATACAGTTTGACAATGATCAATCTCTCCCTTGACTTCTGTGCAGTGACAAAAATCAGTCCTTGCAGTTCTTCTTTCTCCATTTCCTTGTAGTTTCTCCAGAACTGCTTATAGGCCCCTCTGTGCCAGAAGGTGAAACCCCATGACCTCCCATTTGGTTCGGCCATCATGCATTAGAAGTATTCAGGGTTCACTTTCAAAATTTCAATCAAAATCCGATCAAAAAAGTCATACCTCTCCATGGTCCATCTGCCCTGTGCCTTCTCGTTAGTCATTGTCACATGTACCCTGTACCTCAAAGTCTCTCTGGGCTCCTTATCCCCATCATCTGAGATCCACTCACCTCCCTCTTTCGCATTTCATTGTCTGGCTCCTCCTTTCCATTCTTCTACAGCTCTTTGGTTCCTGCTGCTGCTTTCCCTGGTCTGGTTGATGACTGTCTTCTTCTTGTCGCTCTTCTTTTGGCTTGCTCATCCCTGCGCAGTTGCAGCTGCTTTCGATTTCATCTTCACGCATTGCTGCACCAGCTGCCAATCAGATTCCAGCTCTCCATCTGAATCTCCATATTCATGGCTTCACTCTACCTGGTCTCCTGTCTCCTTCTCTGATCTTTGCTTCTCTGCTCTCAGCTCACCAGCATTCATGCTGCCATCTCACCGCTCTTTGCTCCTGCCTCTCGGGTTGTTGACCAAGGCTGCAGGGCAGCAGCCAGGCTTCCATTCAGCTGTCACACTTGATCTGAACCCACAAGAAGCAATCTGCTGATGAAAACGAACTGCAAGGATAAGTTAGGGCAGCCTATCTCAATAACGTACACGATAATGCCCATCTTGCACAGTGCTTCTCAGCGCTCTTTAGAGTCATGGTGAGTCATTACAGTGAATACATGTTGATTTCTTCTTCACTCTCATAGCTGAGATGTGCCTTTCTTTTCCATTTCAAATGATTCCCGTTTCTTCACCAGCCTTAAATACCTGGTAAACACCACCAACTGGGGTCCCAAACAGTTCACCCAGAACTGCTCTGTCACCCCCTCTTTCAATCTAATGCATATGATTAGTGTGGACCTACCCTCCATGATGTGGGCTGGACCAGGTTGCCCTGTGCCTCATGTACGTATCATTTTTGGAAGGATCTCAGGGCTCGTGACAAGAACACTCAGTTCCAGTCATGGGTGGGAGGTTAATTAGCACATGAATCCTCTATGGGGTGTATCTGAAGTAGACACATACTGAACAGTGTTGAGCTGGAGGTCATCAGGGCTTGAAATGTTGATTCTGCTGGGGCCCAGGCCAATGAACCAAATGGTAAGTCACCAGTCTTTTGGTTTTGGACTGAAATCATACGTAGTTTGTACTATTTTAAGCAGCACTTCTTCTGTACCTACTTAAACAGAGTGTTTATACAGTACCTGTGCTAAAACTTGCAGCAGTTTCAAAAAGTGCAAGGCAATTTTGGATTAATTAAAGCTATGGATTACCACAGGTATTTTTAATTTCAAGGTCAGTTTTTTCAGATTTGCTTTTCTCTTCCATATGCTCAGGGAGAACAGGGTCTGACAGTACGGAGAGGGGGAAGGGGGCTGCAGAGGGAAAGTTGTGGGGGGCAGAAGGCAGAGGACCCCAATCCCCGATTTTAATTTTCCCTGCTGTAGCAGTGGAAGGGGGACAAATTCAAGGCAAACCTCCGATTATTAGATTCTATACCTGGAAACTTACATACAACAACTTTATAAATTTTCTAATATAGAATCTAATTATTGGGGGGGGTTATTTTATATTCAGTGTTGTCTTATATTTGAATAAATACAGTAATATTTATAATATTTAGCATTCTTTGCTGACAGGTGTAAATTACATTTTTGTTCCTTGTTCATATCTTCTTCCTTCTAGCCCCTTAACAGTAATAGCCAAAATAACCTTCAGTTTACTCTCGCCTTATAATTCTTCCTTCCCATAAGAAAATGGTATCCCTTCTGACTTGTGCATAAATACTTAATGATACTATTCTGTTTTTGTAAAAATGAAACCTGTAATGTTTTTTAAAAATCATAACCATTTAGGCTTATTGGGATGCCTGAAAGTATCTAGTTGTATGATGTATCTGAACCAGCAAACTAGCATGAATACAGTCTCACGAGAGAAGCACCCTAACCAGTGAAAAATCATCAGGCAAATTTATTTTCTTAGATATAGCAAGAAAAATTAGTTTTCCCTCTCACAAAATGTAGCTTGGAATACACAAACCCTTGTATTACCTGAATATTCAATTAATACATTCTAAAGAAAAAAATGCTCATCATGGAATGAAGTTTTGAATTGGTACCTCAATAGACAATTATTTAAACTTTCAGATACCATTGTTCATGGCTTGAACCCTTAATGCTATGCCCTAACTTTTGATATGCAAAATAACTGCCAAATTTAGTAACGATCCATAATTCTCTGCCAGTACTGAAGCCACTGTCTTGGGCAACTCTATTGTTTCTTTTTAAAACAACGTGTCTTGTAACTGAGTGTGGTAGTTCCTGTTCATTGGAAGGAATTTAACTGAGTTTGATCTCTAAAATTGGGTTTTCATGTAGGGCATGCTGTTTAGTAGGCTTATAAAGAACTACTGAAGCTTTTGGCTCAGGTGTTTTCATGCACTTATCCTGGTGTTAAATTTAATACAATCCAAGTAAGAAAAGTTTATTTTGTTCACGGTGCATATTGGCGTTTGCATCAGGCTCTTCTTGTGTTCCATTAGTTTTTTTTTAAATGTTTTATAGTTACCGCAAATGCCCATTTTGGAGTTATAACTTAATCTTATTGTCATATAGACATCTGCTGGAGCTGCTGAAACGAACCATTTTCCATGGAGAAAGTAACTCTGCGCTCATTATTGGGCCCCGAGGATCGGGCAAGACCATGGTAAAAGCTTCTTGTACACGTTCAGGGCCGAGTTAGTGTGTGACATGAGTACAACTCTACTGGACTCTTGGGGAAGTGTGGAGGGAGGGGGGAAAAAGGGGTGTCTTTAGAACTGTTGCTTCTGTCTTCCAGTTTCTTTGCTCCTTAAAGGACTAATATAACAAGGAAAATTAGTTTTCCCTCTCACAAAATGTAACTTGGAACACAGAAACCCTTGTATTACCTGAATATTCAATTAATACAGTCTAAAGAAAAAAATGCTCATCATGGAATGAAGTTTTGAATTGGTACCTCAATAGACAATTATTTAAACTTCTCCTAATTTAAGTCACTTAAGGAGCACTTCTTCTAATGCAACATTTACAGTCCATCTGGCAAAGGTGGTACTGAAGTCACTCTTCATAAAAAGAGCACGCTTTTTTGTTTTTGCGGGGGGTGAGAGGAGCAGATGGGCTTGGAGCAGGGAGGAGGAGGGGAAAGGCAAATGATTTCTTTTATATCCAGAACTCAGAACAAAGTTTCTGCACTCCAACTATGTTGGATTGTAGTACAAGCCAGAACATGTAAGGCTTATGTGTTTAAGCACAGTTTCAGTATAGCTTTACTGTGTAAGTTTAGAAATTGGTATACTTGAAATGACATACTATTTGTTTGTAAACTACTGACTTGCATAGCTGTAAGCACCTCTTTCTGGAAAATTATCTACATGCAAAAAGGTTCTGCCACTTCTTTTTTATTTTTAGAAACTGACATTGTTGTAGCTGTATGAAAACTGTAGATTAGCCTGAAGGCACTCTCTGCCCCACAGAACAGATGGTGTGAAAACTAAAAGGTTTCCATGTCATGACTGTTCTGTAAGATTTTTCTGGACTTATGTTATTGCCAATGTTTTTGGGACCTTTCTGAAATAAATATACTAAATTATTTTCCCCCTTCACATTAGTCTTCGACACCTTCATGTCTTTCTTCCTGAGTTCTGACCCCCCAGCTATAAAAGAGCAGATCATTCATAAGACAAACTAAATGAATAGTGAAATGATTTAGTTGCCTCGTGCAAGTGAAGAGAAAGTAGTTTGTCTTCAGGAAGACTAGTTATGTTTAAAGAGAACTAGTAATTCTTGGTAGAGGAGACAATAGAAGCAGAAAAGAGGATGAGGCTAATGAATACAGTTACAGTTTTTATATATTTATGATGTGAATTAATAGCTTATCCAAGGGCAGGGTGGAAAATATTGGGCACAGGACTGGCTTGTAAAAGGATAAAGTTTTCCATATTAATAACTTATATAAGTGTTTGTTAATTTTGTCCTCCTGTTACTAATTCTATGTTAAAATGGAACAAGCATATGAAATTCTTTGAGACAAAACTTTCAGCTGCCTTTGTCTTGCACAGTGGGCCAGTGCTGTACTAAACTAAAACTACTAAACGTTAAAACTGTTAACTTTTTTCCCATTGTTGTATTTATTTGTTAGTTTGGATGTAAACTTTCCTTGTGGAGTAACTTGAAAATTATTGCCGTATTCTTGTACTCTGTTCTCCCACAAACTAATATTAGTAATTCATCAGCTACACAAAATATGAAAACTAGATTTAGAATAGTAAAACTGACTGAATACCACATTCCTGCTGGCAGTAAGCATATCTATTCACTTTTTAAGATGTTATTGATATTTTTTTTTTTTTTTTTTCTTTTCTTACCTTTTGGTAATAAGCTTGGAGTAGTTCATTTAGAAGGGAAGCATAGATAAGACTTAAAAGAGTATGAAACTTTTTAAAGAATTTCCAGAAAGGGGTCAAAGTCTGGGGGACACAGCTGGAGACCAAGGCAGCCTAGGAGCCTGTAGCCCAGGAGGAGTTCATGAACATGGGTCGGCAGTGTGGGGAGGCAGTTAGGGAGGCCAGCCGTACCTTGTCATGCATCCACAGATGCATTTCAAGCAGGTCAAAAGAGGTGATCCTCCCCCTCTATGTGGCACGGGTCAGGCCGCAGTTGGAGTACTGCGTCCAGTTCTGGGCGCCGCACTTCAAGAGGGATGTGGACAGCATGGAGAGGGTCCAGAGGAGGGCCACTCGCATGATCAGGGGACAGCAGGGCAGGCCCTATGAGGAGAGGCTACGGGACCTGGACCTGTTCGGCCTCCAAAAGAGAAGGCTGAGGGGGGATCTTGTGGCCTGTTATAAACTAGTCAGGGGGGATCAGCAGGCATTGGGGGAGTCACTGTTCCCCCGAGCACTGCCAGGAGTGACCAGGAATAAGAGTCACAAGCTGGCAGAGGGTAGGTTTAGGTTAGACATCAGGAGGCGCTACTTCATGGTCAGGGTGGCTAGGGTCTGGAACCAACTTCCAAGAGAGGTGGTGCAGGCTCCTACCCTGGGGGTTTTTAAGATGAGGTTAGATGAACACCTTGCTGGGGTTGTTTGACCCCAGTACTCTTTCCTGCCATGGCAGGGGGTCAGACTAGATGATCTTCTCAGGTCCCTTCTGACCCTACCAACTATGAAACTATGAGTTTGAAAAAGCCCTGAGACACCAAGGGGTCTGGCAGCCCAGAGGCAGGGCCAGGGCCCTAGAAGGGTCAAAAGGTTGAAGGAGACCACTGCAGAGACTGCCAGAGCTGGGAGAGCCTGAGCTCTCAACTGGCCTGACGTGGGGCCAGGGTCTTGGAAAAGATAGGCCAAACGTCCATGTGTGGCCATAGCCCTAATGTAAAAGGGCCAGGGACCCTACAGGTGAGAGACTGCCCAGGAGGGGATCCCGAGGCCACTGTGGGTGCACCACCGGCCCGTCTTGCCCATCCATTAGGGCAGGAGTGGGGGGTTGGTCTTGGCTTTTGACCTCAAAGACTGATGACATTCAAGGAAAGAACTGCAAGCTGGTGCTCGCGTATTAGCCAGATGTACTGTCCCTCTGTGAGAACCCTGGAACTGGTAGATAAATAGGATTGGGGTTATTTTGTTTGCTTTGCCTGCATTACTCTCATCTGCTATCACTGTGTGTGAACAAAATTTGCCTGTTATTGAATGGAAGAAGTCATGGTTGGTATGAGGGTTTGGGTCCTCCTGGAACAAGGTATCAGGACTGGGTCACAGATCCAGTGCCAACAAAAACTAGTTGGAAATTTTCCTCTGAAATCTAGCAAAACGATGTCAATGTTTCACGTTCTCAAGCTTATGACTGACAAAGTGGTATCTTCCATATTACTAGGTATTTGATTCTCTTTGTCTTTTAATATCTTTTCTTATAGTTTTTAATTAAAATTCTGTGGTGGAAAGCATATTCAATTTATACGTATCTTTCCTAGTTACTAAACCACGTGTTGAAGGAGCTCATGGAAATAAAGCAAGTAAAGGAAAACCTCTTACAAGTTCACCTAAATGGTAAGTAATTTGGCAGCATCAGTAGAGATTACAGCAGGGACGGGCAATTATTTGGGGCAGAAGATCACTTGAAGAGGTTTGGTGAGCTGCTGAGGGCCGCATGGGTAGCCCCGTTCCTTGGCAGTTGCCCTGCCCGTGGTTACCATCTTGGGACTGGAAGTCCTACCCCTAACCCCTGACCATTGCCACCTGAAGTCCCTTCCTTTGCCCCCCAGAAATACTCCTTTTGGGAAGGGGTTGCCATCTTAGAACCAGAAAAAAACAATCATTCAGCAGAAGTCAAATGCCTGCTATAACATATTTTAATTTTATTACAAAAAATATTTTTGTTATGATCTGTATTTGCATAGTGTGTATAGAGATGATTGCATAATAACTCAAAAATAAATTATTAGTCTTTTATATTGTGTTGGGGGGTGGGTGTGGGGGTCTGTATGATAGTGTTTGGGGGACATGTGAGGGGAATTTGTGAGAAGGTGTTGCTATGTGTAGGGGGCATAGGGTATGTTGGGGGTTGTATGGCATTTGTGGGGCTCTGGAACACTGTCCTCTCCTGCAGTCAACTCAGGCAACACAGGGGGAGTCGGGTTGTATATATGTGTGTGTAGCATTTGTGGGGTGGAAGGGATGTGGGGACACCCCCCACACACTGCACCCATGGTGCAGCATCAGGTGGGGGCTCTGGTGCCTGGCTCTGGCTAGCACTGCACATCGCATCAAGGAGCGCAGCCCCTGCTGAGCAGTTTCCATTGCCGGCACTCCCCACACTCACACGGCATGGGAGGGAAGCCCCACACACTGGAGCCGGCTGCCTTTCCCACTGCAGCCTCTCCAGTGCCTGGGGCTTTCCTCCCTGCCGTGTGAGCATGGAGAGCGCCCGCGATGCAGACAGCCCAGTGGGGGCTGCGCTTCTGGCTGCGATGTGCAGAGCTGGCCAGAACCAGGCACCAGCTCTGAGTACCCCCCTGCTTCCTACCAGGGCTGTGCACCATGGGGGTAGTATGGGAGGGGTCCCCATACCCCCAACTGTCCCCCACACTCACACTGCCCAGCTGAACTCCTCACTGCCCCTGGGCTCTGCACTGCAGCCAGCTCCAGCCCTATGGTCTGCGCTTCTGCTCTACCTGCTGTTTGGAGGGAGCAGGATGCTGGGGAAGCCTGCAGCAGCAGCCCCACCTGGTGCTAGTGGGGCCGGGTCCTTCCACCCACGATGGTGGGAGCGAGACATAATAGGTATGTTGGGCACCTCACTCCCACCTTTGCGGGTGGAAGGGCTGGTTGGGGCACAATTCATTTGTAGGGTGCCACAGACTGGGTGAAAGTGCCTGGTGGGCCAAATCCAGACCACGAGCTGTATTTTGTCTGCCCCTGCATTACAGCAATGTGCATGGGAGTGTTCAGCTGAGCTTCTCTTGACGTTTTGATATGGTTTTGAGACCATGTAGAAAACCAAAGTCTAGTAAAGATCTGTTTCAAGAACTCTACCATTAGAAGTCACTCATAACCAGTTACCTGGTCTTCCATTGTAAAATATGAACTGGCTGAAATTATCTCTTCTAACACTGTTTATACAGAGATAGTCTTAACTCAAAAACTGGGACTATTATTGGTTTGTGTAAGGTAACATTATTCCATTACCTTTTTATAGCTTGTTAGATGTGGATGAAGCATAGTTGCTACCGTAGGTGTAGGACGAAAAGGATAATTTACACTGTCTAATGTAAAATTGCCACTATTTTTTTTTTCTTCTTTTTTTAATAAGGCCTGTTGCAGACCAATGATAAAATAGCTCTTAAGGAGATCACAAGGCAACTAAGTCTAGAAAATGTGGTTGGAGATAAAGTTTTTGTAAGTATTGGCTTCAGTTCCTTTAGATGCAAATAAAAATGAAACCTAAAGCTCCATCCAAAAAAGTCTTGAGAGAGGCGCTTCTTGCTATATACTTTAGTCATGTTGTACCACATGTTTAAAATACTCGTCATATATCTATTGCTTCTAATATCTTTTTTTTCCTGCCAGTCCATACGTAACAACCAGTTAAGTAGATTGTTGTCTGTGAAAGCTTATGCTTCTGACTTCATAAGTTTCTAAGGTGCCACCCTGCCCTACTTTCTCCTGATCTTTGAAAATCCAATTTCATAGGAGTGTGAGAATAAAAAATGCTGTCCAATATTGCCATGCAGTAACTGTGATGGTACCTGAGGCAGGGGTTCGCATCTTGTTACAGCCAGTCCTGTTGTCTCCCAGTCTACTTAGAAATCTTCCTGGTCCCAAACTACCTACTACAGTATAACCTCATGAATCCGGCATGCTTGGGACCGAGCACCTGCCAAATATCTGAAAATGTCAGATTTTTGAAATCCGAGTGGTGGCTGGTCAGGGGGAGAGGGGGTAGCGATGGGTGGTCCCTGAGTAGCCACGTACGGTGCAGGGTGGTTAATGGCGGCAGCAGCTGCTGCATGGGAGCTTTCCCCTCCGTGTCTGGGGTGAGGGGGAGCGGTGGCCGGTCCTGGAGCAGCCAGTCCAGTGCCAGATTTCTGAGAGTGCTAGATTTCTGAGATCCAGATTCATGAAGTTTTACTGTACGTCTTGCTGAAAAAAATTAATTAGGAGATGGGGAGGAATCTGATGATAAGGTCTCTTCTGGTGTCTGCTGGCTCCCTGATTGTCTTATCTCAAATGTAGCTCCTCTGGCTCAACACTGAAGTCTTCCCTGTTCTGGTCCCGGGGGCCTGAGGGTGCCAGGCTCTCTGTCTGTCCGGAAACTACTTCTGGGCTTCAGCTTCTCTGGGGTCTAGAACGCAGAGCCTCAGGCTCAGCAAAGACACCACCTGACTCCTTTAGGCTACGGCAGCAGGTCCTTAGGCCTCCAAGGGGAGGATATCGCACAGGATGTTGGGGCACCATGTAATGCAGGATCCTCATTTCACCTTATAGTCCCTTCCGGTCCACTGGGTGCCCACTGAACAGAAAGCTCAACTTAAAGTTCCTTCCTACCTTTAGGGTAAATGACCATAGTTCACAACTCAGGGATTTACCCCTTAGGCATGCTACTTACTCCATCCATCACAGCACTCCCTTCAACAGGTAAGGGCAATCCAAACTTGTGCTCTTCAGGGCTTTACTGTCCCCATCTCCTTTTGTCTGAGGCATCCATTTAATTATAGCAACTTGAATTTAACCATAGCAATTTTTTAACAACCTGAATTAGACTGTGAATATAAAATGGGTCAGACATCCTTACTGAGGGACTATCAACACATTCCCAACCTGAAGGAACACAGGATTATGTGCTCTGTACTGGATCAAATTTTAAAAGCCTAGGAGGTCCTAATACTGTTACACTTTTGCTAGCCTAGTCGCAGCATTAGACATAGGAAGGACCCCCACAGTCATCACGGCTAATCCCTTGCAGTGTCAGAAATTGTTTAACAAACTGATCAAGATCCATCTTAAATCTAGTTAGTCTATCTAATACCCCAAATACTTATGTGGGGAGGTAGTTCCAGAGTTACTCCTTGTTTATTACAGGTATCTAAAGATTCAGTTCCTTCATGCTGTCTTAAATTTTCTCCCCTAACATCCTCTCCACTGGGTCTCAGGGAAGACAAGTTAATAAGATTCCAGGATTTTTTTTTTTTTTTTTTTGCATTACAAGTCCTTTTTTCTTGCAGATTGGTTTTCCTATGCCAGTTTACATACTAACCTTACAGCATTGTCTGTTGATATGAGTCCAGTTAATATGATTTACATTTATTTATAAAGTCCCCCATCTTATGCTAACAGCTTTGTATAACCTGTATAGGCTGATACATTTGTTGTCTTTAACTGGTCTCATGTTACTGAGAAGATGAGCTGAACATCTTCTATTTCCACAAAGCTCTCACCTAAAACAGGTGGTCTGTTTGCCCTGGAGTATCAAAATTGTATTTAAAAAAGTATACTATAGCTAGTGTGGAGTTCAGCCTGTTTTTCAGTTAATATTCTTTTTTACTGATCTATATTGGCTGTATTTGCATGTTCAAGGAGTGCCAAGTCAGAAGATGGAAACTGAAATAAAATCAAGATCATTCTAAGCATCATCTCTTGCTCTGCTTCCTGATGGGACACATGAGATTGGTAGATTTGCATAGTTACTAATTAGGCTACAATAGAATTCCTCAAATGAAAGATTCTGTGGTGGAATAGCAGTTGGGAATCCATCAGGGGCTTTACCATTGAGGACTATTGTGCTCAGTCTCTTAAAATAAGTGTTTACAAAATGCAACATAACCCAACAACTAAGCAAAATTTCAAAATGCCCATCACCTATGCAATATCCATCTCACTAGCCAGTCAATCAAGAAGAGAGGGAAACTAAAGAATTTTAAGTTGCATCTTTGTTTCCTATGCTGAGGATTTCAGACATCAGCATGTTGTCTTAAGTGATTTATCAAGCATGTGCAAAGGAAGAATTCTCCCTGCCTTCTTCCTCCCACCCAAAAATAGGACAAAATAAATGGGAGAGCAAAAAAAAAAAGAAAAAAAGTAGTGGCGACGTTCATCATCAGTAACTTGACTAACATCAGTAACTTGAAAAGTACAAACAAAGTAAAAGGTATAAAATTCATTATATCATTTTCCGCAACTCCAGCTACCAAGAAGAAAGCAAAGGGAGGTGTCAATAGCTCTGCTATCTTGAGCATAGTAGTAGTAGTATCCTTACAGCTTTTCCCTCTAGTGTATTTCTCTCCCCTTTATTTATGCAGGAAACCGAGTTTAATGTACAAAGGCTGGAGAAGGTAAGAAATAAATAACCCTGTTCTTCTGAAAGGAGAGAAATCATTAATGCTTCTGCCCTTGGGCTACAAAGCTGTCCAGCCCCTTCACCAGCTTAGTAACTAAGCTGCCCCCATTTCTATCTAAACAAATAATCTTTCCCCAGTGGCTTGTAGCAACCTGTAAAGTAAATAGTCCTCTTTACTGCCTACCTTTCTATAATGTGGCTTGGGCTGGAAGCAAGTGGAGCAGACCAGCCATACCTTGACAGGCCTGTCCAGCTTCTGATTGGTGGGGAGCTGTATACCTTCCCATGTACCCTAACATGAACAAAGAAGGAAAATAGAGCCAGAGAAAAGAAAGAACTAGAAACAGACAACATTTCTACTAGCTGTTTCTTGTCCATTCTTCCCCTTTCCTCAACTGCATACCAACAAAATAATGGTGGATTAACAAATTTTCTGGGAACAAGCGTTACATGGTTAAACATATATGCATGTGCAGAGGACAGCTGTCAACTCAGGAATGTATTTTATTGCATACATTCAGTGTCCAGTTTTCCAAAAAGCAATGCTACAGGTAGATCCATAATTTTCAATATAACTGTTCCTCTCTTAAAGTAGGACTGTCTAACTTGTAGCCAGCATGGGGTTAATATGCAGCCAATGGACTGCTGCCACTCCCTTCATTGCTCCTGCAGAGGCCAGGCCACTAGGCTGCATGCAGCCCTGACCCCTGCCTCTGCTGTGTGCACAGTGCAGGTAGCCTGGCTCCCCCTTGGAGTACTTTGGGTGGCCAAGGCACTGAGTCAGATCCCTCCTTTCCATACCTCTTGCTGTGTGTGCAGCCTCCTACAGATAGGGTGGGCACCCTAGCCTCTCTCCCCAGGGTCTTCTACTGCATTGCCCTGCCCCCAGGTGCAGGGGCAGAAAGCAAAATGCAGAGGGGGCACAGGGAGCCTGGGGAACCTGGCCTCTACAGGAGCAATAGAGTGAGTAGCAGCTGGACAGTAGTCCATGGGCTGCATGTCAGCCCCCTGCTGGCTACCAGTTGGACATTCCTACTTTGAGATGAGTTATTGTCTTGAAAATTATGGATCTGCCTGTAGTGATACTTATTGGAAAAATGCACAATTAACATATGCAATAAAATTTGTTCCTGAGTTTACAGTTGTCCTTTCACATGCATATATGGTTAATTAAAGTATGTAATGCTTGTTCCTAGGAAATTTATTAACCTACCATTATTTTGTTTGTATGCAGTTGGGAGAAGAGAGAGTATCTTCCCCCTGCCCCCTAGGCCAAAGAGGTGCCTCATAGAAGATGCAATTATAAAATATATTGTAAGGATTTATCCTGTATTAATGAGAAGTTAAATAAAAGCCCATCTTTTCTCAGACACAGGTAAAGAAGGCGGATTTATGAATTTGACGCAGTTTATGTTTGCATTTTTAAGAGTGCCTTTGACAATGTGTTATGAAACTTTTTTCTTCCAGGGTAGTTTTGCTGAAAATCTTGCATTTCTTCTTGAAGCTTTAAAGAAAGGTAAATATTTTTTACAAGAAATCCTAAAACTGGCCCTGCATCTAACATATTTTCAGACACATGTCATACAGGAATAAAAGACTTTCATTTTATATGCATTAGACAAGGAAATTCTGCGTGAGACATTGTTGGTTCAAAATCAGGAGAAAACAGTTGTAACATTTGATTAAAACCTTATTGTTTTACTGGCATTAAAGACTCCTCCGGACTATACTAAACACCCAAAATAAGAGATTTAAAAAAATCAGAAAATAGTACTGAAGTCTCTCTTTAATGATTTTTAAAAACAATTATGCAGTGTGATATTTTACTCTGCCAAAAATTTAGCCAAACTTTTGACAGTTTGATTGTTCATCCTGCCAAGGACAGATGTTCTCACTCCAGCTCTGCATGTGTAGCAATGGTGGTTATAATTATAATGTGCAGTGCTTTTATCAGTCTATGTTCATGAAATTTAATGTAACAGATTGGTTTCTTAACTCTTCTTTTTATTTGCAACTAAAAATAAGTTATAACTAAATAACACTGGAAGGGAAGGTAGAGTGGCACCATAGACTACCTGGTTGAGAGAAGCATGAAGAGCGTACTCTGCCAGATGCTATGAAAAAACTGGCAGAAAGAAAGGGTTTCATGTTTCCCAAGGTAGGTTGTTGCCCATGAAAGCTCATGCCTCTCTCAAACCTTTAGTCTCTAAGGTGCCATCCTGCCTTACCTTCTGCCTGATTTCTGACTAACCCTCTCTCTGACAAGATATTTTGAAAAAGAACATTGTCATACTTAATCATATATGACACGCACCTTGTTTTGGGAGGGTAGAATGAAGAAAAATATTTTTCCAGAATCTTGCCTGTCAGGAAATGAGCTTACCATGTCTGAATGCTCCCAGCCATGTGGAGGACGCATGGAGTCCACTCTTCAGTATCACACACCTCCTTGTTGCAGCTCCCCAGCTACAAGTTAACCCTTTTACAGCCCCTGCTAGTTTGGCAGAAACTGGCCAATTTCTTTGTGGCTATGCTAAACCTCCTAGTTAGGGAGCAGCAGCAAGATAGTGAGTGATACTGAGGAGTAGAGGTGCACTGAAGCATCAGTTCAATATCAGATTGGTACAAAAATTGATATAAAGAAAATTGGCTGTATTGAAAATCCACCAGAAGTGTCCGATTTAATTTGGCCAATAAATGCCCGTGTGTGCATGCAGCACACAGGCAGTGAGGAACAGAGCCCAGCAGCGTGCAGCTGGTAAGTCTGTGGTGGAAGAGGAGGGCGAGGAAAGGAGTATGGGGGGTGGAAACAGATCAGCGCCCCCTTGTGGCTCAACCCCCACCTCCCCCCACATGCCAGGAAGAGGTGGGGCTGTACCAGGCAGGCAGTGGTGGTGCTGGGAGAGGAGCTACAGCAAAATTTGGGGTGGCTGCAGCCTGCTCCATAGCCTACCTCCCAGCGCTACCACTGCCTGCCCTGAACCCAGGCCCCACTGAGAAGAGCCGGGTGCAGCTCCAGCTCCAGCCCACAGCTGTAGTCTGCCCGCCATGCCCCATGCAGATCCAGAGGCACACGCCCCCTCTCCCCCCCATGCCCTCATGGGGTGCATGGAGCAGCAGGAGTTGCTGCCGCGCCCCCCCGCGATAAGCCTTGGCTCTGTCCCATGCCCTGCCCTACCCCAGCTGGGCAGCACCTGCCCCCTCCCTCCCTCACTGTGGGGGGTGTTGATCTGCCCCCACAATGCCCCTTCCTTCTCCCCTCTCCTTTCACTACAACAGACTTACCAGCTGCATGCAGCTGTATCGGAAATCAGATCGGTATCGGCTATCAGTATCAGCCCTCAAAATCTCTATCGGTGCAGCCCTGCTGAGGAGTGTACTCCATTCACGCTCCACGTGACTTGGAGCATTCGGCTGCAGTGAGAATGGAAATTAGTTTCCTCGCTTAGGATGCATGACCCAATATTGGAAAACTAATCTTCAAGAAAAATTTCCAAATTCCCCTCTGATTTTGGAGCAGTTCAAATGGATTATGCCATGGTTATGCCATGACCAGATAGGGAACTGTCTGTACACCCCACCTTGCCACATTCATCAGCTGGAGCATCTCATACTTATCACAGTGGTATGCTAGAGGGTGTGACAAGGTGGTTCAGTGGTGTAACTGCTTCCCACTCCCCTCCCCAGCCTCAAACCACCCCACCCATGTGGGAGTAAGGCAGAGCACTGGAATACCAGTAGACCATGTTACTATGCTTGAGCTTACATGTAACTGGAAGCCCTTCAGAATGAAATGTTTCAAAAGTTATTTCATTGAGGGTCACTTTTAGTGTGTCCATTTTTAGTGCTTTCTAGAGTGCATGCATCTGTCTGCTTGCCTTTTGAAAGCACTTCAGAGGTACCTGAAACTTTTTTCCTATTCTTGTCTGTCCAGGGCCTAAAATTAAAAAGTGTTATAAAGATGAGAATTGTAATTGTTGTGTGTTATGTATCAATTGAATAACATTTAACTTTTAAAAATTCTCCTCTTAGGTGACCGAGATAGCAGTTGTCCAGTGCTGTTTATACTGGATGAATTTGATTTATTTGTTCATCATAAGAACCAGGCGCTGCTATATAACCTTTTTGATATATCCCAGTCAGCCCAGACTCCAGTAACAATTATTGGACTTACATGCAGACAAGTAAGAAATTATTCTTCCCAGTGCCATAACTTACGTTGTTGACACTCTGTAATTCTTTACAAACTGATTTCTTAAGGCCTTAATTACTTTAATATTATATTTTTTTTCTTGGGGTTACCTCCACTTACCTGGGAGAGATCTTCCCCTGTATCTAGTGCTACTGTTATCTGACCATTTTAAAAATGGATTCCAGTACTAATAGCACTTCACATCACTTTAATTTGCTAAATATTCTGGGCAAACAGCAGTTAAGGAAACAGGCATATGATCAAGTGGGCAAAAACCCAAGCCTGGTGACATTTCAAGTTCACAACTTCTATGACTTGTGAATGACAGGAGCACAACCAAATAAACCCTTATGACACTATCAAAACATGAATGACTTTCTCATTTCGGATGATAAATTATTGTAGGCCCTCTTTAATCATGATGATACACAGGACGATAACTATTTTATAGTACTGTTTTAAGTGTTTTGTTGTAGAGATTAAATACTGTACATGGCACAAACTATTACAACAGTAGTATTAAAAGTCCATTAATGCCAGTCATTTAGACTTGGACATTTTAGCTTTCTTTTTTCTCATTTGTCTTGGTGCTGTGAAAAAGGTCATGGTTCTGAGAAAAGAGGGTAATATATACTTTTAAAGGAGAGTTGTACATATATACACAAACACACGTGTGTGTGCGCAACTCTGTCATTAGCCTTCTGCATGGGGAGGAGGAAAGGTATCTGTTATCTTCCATTCTTTGCAGAGATTTTTGGTGCTTTCTTTCATTGGAACAGGAAAGAACAGAAATGTGGGTCTTGACAGCATCACATCAATACAATAAGGCATAAACTACTGTATCTTGAAAAGATGATTAAACCAACTACATTGACCTTGGATAATGTTAAAAATAATCATCTAGAAAAAGAATAATGATTATTTCAATAGTTTCCATTTAGACCTTAAAGCAAGTTGACCTGGAACGTAATGTAAGGGAGTGAGAGGTCTATCCTAGAAAGTCCATGGGACTTCTTTAGAACGTAAGTGGGATGTGTCACTTTCTTATTTAATGTTGGATTTCATTTAACTAGTAATGTCAGGAGCCTTGTCTTCTATGGGTTCCTGCGTCTGAGTTCTCTACTCTCTCCACCCTATGGCCTATCTTCTCAATTAGATTCAAGAACAAAATCTGTGCAAAAATATTTTAAATCTTTCAAGTCTTCATTGAATCTTAGTCTGCATCCAGACAAGTGTGGCTGTGCAGTATGTGGTGTTGCAGCCCCGTCTGCAGCGCCACACACCGCACGTTCAGGTGTTCCCTGTGCTCCTACCTTGCACCGTGAGGGGGAGGGAGCTTGACCCCAGGAGGTCTCAGAATCAAAAAAAAAAAAAAAAGGGGTGGTGCAGGTGGTGGCAGTGCACACTGCTCAAAACCAGAGCCTGGCCTGCTGAAGCCATGCTGCAGCTGCTGACCAGGTTCCCAGCTGCAGGAGCAATGTGGCTGCAGCTCTTCAAGGCCCCCAGACCCCAGGTAAGGCTGCTGGGGCCATCAGAGTTGCTGGACTGAGCCTCCCTTAACCCTCCTGGGGTAACCTGCCACATGCCAGAGGGCACGGGGTATGGGCATTCCCCAGGGACAAAAAGCAGCAGCACAAAGTGTGCCACTTCTTGTCCCCAGGGAAACAAACGTCTGCACTTGTGTGGACACACCCTTAGCGTCTGAGGGTCACTACTTAAGAGTAAAGGTTTGACACTATAGTAGGTCAATGGATTGTGTTCTTTGCTCCAGTGTTTTGTCCTGTTAATACAGATTTTCCTTCTAACGTGTGGAGACTTTCTCCTTTTCTTGCATCAGAATAAGATTATTTCAAGCCCAAGTCATCCTGATTTCAGGGCAAGTAAAAAAAAAAAAAAAAAAAAAAAATGAATAGGAGCAAAGTAACTAGTTTCTTTTGTAGAAATTGTCATAGGTTCCTTCTGATGTCAAGCTGTCTGCTGCCTCCAGAGGCAAGACATGATTATTCTTGCTCAAAAACAGCTTAAGAATTCTCCTGGAGCAAACAACCACCATTATCTTCAAAAGAGAAATATTGAATCTTGAGATTTTTGACGCAGGATCTCTCTAGCCTGGCAAAAGGCATGTGAAATGACAGCTACCAACCTACACATGTCTACTAAAGAGACAACTTGTCTAGAACCTTGATAAAGTGGCTGAAACTCCTTGAATATAAACCAAAGCAATTGAAATATTTACATAATCTATGGGGGAAAATGAGTATCCTAGCAACTAATTATTGTGTGATGTGTACTATAGCACATGGATTGCTTGGGGTTAGGCATTTGAAGTATACTGTCAATTTATTTTAAAAAGGAAATTCTTTGTTATAACCCTGAGAATAATAAATCCCAACTTTAAAGTGCTTTCCCTATTTGTGCTTTGTTCGTATCTTGTATTTCTTTTAGCTTAGATGAAAAACTGTAATAAATAGAGGTCCTTTTCTTTCTAACAAGGATATTCTGGAGCTCCTGGAAAAGAGAGTGAAGTCAAGGTTCTCCCACCGTCAGATATACATGATGAACTCATTCGATTTTAAACAGTACCTTAAAATATTTAAAGAACAATTATCTCTACCTGCAGAATTTCCAGACAAGTCTTTCACTCAGAAATGGAATAAGAATGTTCAGGTAACTTGAAACAAAAGGTATAATAATGAGACGTTTGAAATCATAAGTGTAATACATAAATGTGCAGAGTTGTTATAGGCTGCATAACTAACTGCAGATTGCACTAACATACACCAACTAGGTATCCATGTAGCTACTGTGCCCAGGGTCCTATTTTGCCTTCCAGCTCTACAAAACCATGTAATTAACCATAATTTTCAACATTTCCTAATAAAGATCTTTCCTCTTTTATCTGCATATGAGAGGAATTTGCTGCGAAACACGTGTTAGCTTTCATAGTTTCTAGGGTTGGAAGGGACCTGAGCAGATCATCGAGTCCGATCCCCTGCCATGGCAGGAAAGAGTACTGGGGTCAAACGACCCCAGCAAGGTATACATCTAGCCTCCTCTTAAAGACCCCCAGGGTAGGAGCCAGCACCACTTTCTTCTTTGAAGTGTTAATACAATTAAAACTTTAATAGTAACCATCTATCTTCCATATGAAGGGCAGTATCTGGTGAATCACGTGCCATCTGATATTGCTGAGCAGATTTTTAGATTTGTCTTTTTGATGGAGGAAGGAGGTTCTTACTACTTCTCTTCATGCTGGTGTAATTTCTAAATGGTTGCATTTCAGTGGTAGAGGAAATTAATCAATGTGCATTTTTTTTAACTAAACACTTTAGCCTTTTTAGTACACTTTAAATTGCCCTGTACTTTTTAAAGATATAGCTGGGTTTTGAAAAGCTGGTGTCAGCAGTGCAGGGACACACCAGACAACAGGGACAACAACAACTTCTGATTGTGAGCAGCTGCTTAACCAGTTCACTCTGCCCAAGTTACACTCCTGGAGCTGTGGCAATTAATACTATAGTTGTTCATCCTGGCAACAAATTTCTGACTTATGCAGAATCCCATGGGTGAGATCTGGAGCATTGAGCCATGTCATTGGGTCTGCAAGATTGCTGCAGCTCCAGGAACCATGGCAGTTAATGCTGCTACCTGCAGACTCTTCCCATGCCACTTGTCCCACACAGGGCAAGATGAGTTGGACACCTTTGGTCAGTAACATCAAAATTGTACCAGGATGGTATCGGAAGTAGCCACAGCAATTTAAACATTGGTTAAATTTTTATTTTAGGGTTATAGCTGCTACAGACTGGGGCTGAGGCTGTTTTTGAGATTAACTATCATAGTGACAGAAAAACTGAAATCTGATCTCTGAGCACCAAAGAGGTAGTTGGAGTGTGGAAAATTTAACTGTATAAAGAACCCCAATACTGTGGAAGTACTCTATTCTTAACTGAGTACTGACATTCTTAACTGAAGAGATGATAATCCCCATCTTTTTTTGAAAGACTTAATTACTAGAGCAGAAGATCAAAAATCCTAAGTAATGGGCAATGGAGGGAAGTATCACAAACAGCAAACTTTACTTCCTTAGTGAGTAGTTAAGCTTTACTGTTATATAACTGATATCCTTTATTAGGCAATTTTAAGCTATTTTACTAAATAACAAGCTAGATAAATACAGATTTATGTATCTTTTTATAAGCTTCTCAGGAAAAAAAACTACAGTTCTGAGATGATCTCAAGCATTTAATCTAAATATGTTCATTTAGTATCTCTGGGTTAGAAGGGAACTAGTTAAGAAATAACGGCCATAATTTTGTATCCTACTGTGTAGTGTAATGACATACAACCACCTCACTTTTTTCCCCAAATACTACTCATGCAGGTGTATGGAGTGTGACAAGAACCACCCCTTGAAAAACTGGGGGACAGGGGGAAAACTCAGTGACCACTCTTGAACATAAAAATTACCTAACTGAAAAATTCCCAGATGAACAAAAACTTGTGTGCTAATCTTACCAGCTAGCTCAAATGCGTCTCAAACTCCATTTTTAGCATCTTTCAGAAGACAAAACAGTGCAAGATGTTTTGCAAAATCACTTCCACCATAGCAAAGACCTGCGATCACTTCACATGCTCTTGGTACGTATTAACATAATCTCTTGGATTTTTATTTCGTATTCATACAGTGGCCTGTAAGTGCACTTACATTTTATTGTAACATACATTTAGTGTGTTTAAGCTATGCTTGAACTGCTTCTTTTTTAATTGGTAGGTTTTTGATACTGCTGTTTTTGTTACACATCTTTGTTTTAGTTCCTTATTCCAATTAGTGTTTTTCGTTCTATAGATGCATACACTACCTGAGCAAAACATTTTGAGATGCTACTTTCCACTTGATATTCTGCCTCGATTCTTTGCTTTTTGCATCTTCTTATTGCCGAACACTTAACTGCTTTCCCTATGAACTCCATTATTCTGTCATCTTGTCCAAAAAGATTAATTTCTTGCATAACTCTGCTTCCTCTCAAAGCTTGCAACCAACTGCCCTTTGAGTCCTTCCTCCCTTTCCAGACGACAGGTATGTGCTTGGGTTTTATAAATCAGTAAGTAACAGCACAACCTTCCTCTGCTCCTGCTTGCTGCCTCCTATGCCTTTTTTCCCCCTCTTCCTTAGTATGCTGAGATTTAAGGCTTGTCTACACTGAGCTGTTACGGAGTAAGTGGATATTCTCATTATGATATACGAGTGCCTTGTTACGTTTTGCACTTCATATGCAAGTGTACACACATTTTCTAGACTATTTATTGATCTTAGAATTTATACCTAGCTTTGATTCTCTGAAATCTTACTCACATTATCAGGTTTTAAGGAAAGTCAAAGGCTGTCTAGTCCAACTTCTGTATCAGTGCAAGATGCACTGTTCCTAAATCTTCCTAGACTTTCCATACTTGCCTATCCTCCAACTGATGAACATCTTCCCTGGGGCAATTTGTTCCATCGTCCCACTGTTCTGAAAGTTAGGAAGCACATTTTTCTCCCCCTGAAACTAAATCTAGATCTGTTTTGCTGTAGTTCAAACCTGCTGCTTCATGTTCTGTCATCTTCTGGCAGCCTGTGAAACCACTTTCACCCCAAATCTTCTTTTCTCCATGCTAGACATACTTTGTTCTTTCAGCATTTTCCTCCCGGTTCTACCATTTCAACCCCTTCATCTTTGCTCTTGTCTGGATCCTTATTCTCTCCAACAATGGCTCTCTACCTTTTTAGGTAGCCTGTTGTTTAGATTCACCTTGGAAAATGCCAACGTTTAGTTTTCACTCATTTTTTGACTTTGGAAGAATAATAGAGCAATTCTTTTGTTGCAAAGAACTTAAAAATACCAAAATGTTTTTTGACATTATGGATTCCTACTTTAAATCTCTGTGTTGATCTAATGCTTATCTTGTGTGTTATTGCATGTGTAGGTGTTTGCACATGTAATAGTGCTGATAGTGTGGTACCCTGTAGCACCCCAGAAAGGGTCTGATAGCACCCCAAGATGCTGCAGCATCCCACTTATGAATCACTGCTGTACAACTATAAAATGCAGAGCCCAGAAGTAGAACTTTAGGTGACATCTAATTAGAGCCAAGTAGTGGCACTTTCACCTGATATCTGCCTTACTATTCCCCTGTGAATGCAGCCCAAAATTCTGTTGTTTTTGTGGAGATTACATCATATTGTTGACTCTTAAGTCTGATTTACCAAAATCCCCAGGCCCTTCTTAAGCAGGACTATCATCCAGCAGTATTTCACATTCTCATGAGTGTTGAGAAGCCCTGTTAGTATTTGTTAGCCTCCTCTAATCCTTCTCCCTTGCTAAATTAATGGAATAGGATCACTTCTAATCTTTCACCCCTTGTTCTTCGTTTAGTGAAAGCTCACTTACCACATCTTGACAATGTGGTCAGATTGTTCTGCCCAAACTCAGTGACCCAGAAAACTTGAACAAGTATAGTATTGTAACAGAAGCAAAGCTACTGGTAAATAGGTGTGCAGGACACTTTCTTTAATTGGCTAGAAACTAGGCAGCTAAATCTAACCATCCTACAGTTTGTTAGTAAAGACAGACTCTCTCACAACCATCTTAGTGGTATAGAGCAGGGGTGGCAAACCTACAGCATGGGTGATGCAAGAAAGCAGGGCAGAGAGATCAGGGTGGTACTTGGAGACAGTGAGGTGCTAATTTCTGGCATGCCTGCCAAAAAGTTTGGCCTCCATTGGTGTAGAGGGTATGTGGTCTTCACTAGCTACAAGGCAGTCACTTCTCAGTGTCTGCATGCATTTGTAAATAAACTTAAATAGCAGAATTGGAGTTCAGCCGTTCACTGCTGTCATCTTCACTTAAGGCAAGTTGTCCTCTGTAGATGTACTTTTCACTTAATTAAGATAGGGGAGGAGAGTGGCTTACTACAAAAAAAAGTCACTATTTGTAACTGAACGTTGTAGTCCTCTCACTATTCTACATGTTTTCCACTGTGTGCTAAGCCTGTCGGTTGTGATGACTTGCTGGTTTCTCATTCTGATTCCCCCATGGAAGTGTCCTTCAGCTGGCGAGAAAGGAACAAAATCTTGTCTCTTGACTTAGATCAGTGATTTTTCAACCAGGGTGCCAGTGCACATTGGGTGCCTTGAGGTACTTTCAAGGATGTCTTGGGGTGCCACACAGTGTTAGATGTGCAAATGTGATTCACAAGGTAAACCCAGAGACTTCAGTTAGGAGCAGTTTTTAATAATGGATTCCTTTTCCATAGTCGGAAAAAACACCCAACATGTGACCTGAGTCTAGAGAGGTTCAGAACCATGACCTGAGATCAAAGGTGTCAAAGATGGGCCTGATTTAGCATGCACAACCTTCTCATCTGGCCCACAGTGCTGCCTGTGGGTCTCATTGGACCCACATGCTGCATATGTGGCCTGAACTGGCCCTGCATACCACACGCAGAACTGGTCTGGCAGGGCCAGTGCAAAGCACAGTATGCAGTGTGCAGGGCTTGTCTGTGGGCCCAAACCACTCTGTGTGGTCTGAGTTTGATACCCCTGCCTTAGACAGCATCCAGTTCCTTTACCTCTTCTTCCTGACACCAAGTATAATTCTTAACAGGTAGCTGGAAGAGAAGAAATGTTGTCAGTGAGTAATACTTAGAGCATGATGGCCTGTTCACTTAAATTACAGTAAAGCACTCTAAGTTAAATGGATGCCAGAAAAAAACAATTAATCCTGCCGGGGTTGGAAATTACCAGTGGTCTCAAACAAGCCAGAAAGCCGCAAACAATTTTTTTCTATTTAAGAAGTAACATATAGTTTCTGTTTTGCTGCCTTGTGCCCCAAATTATGAGGGTTTAGAAAATTAAATTGTATATCAGTTTTTTAATTTCCTTTTATTGAAGAATAACATTGCCTAAGTGGTAAAAATAATAAAATATGAATATAAATGTGAAGTATTTAATTTGTAGTTTTTGTATAAAACCTAAACTTTTTAAGTCCAGTATATCAGCTGTCATTCAAAATCAAGAGCGATGCCCTAGCATGCCAATCTGGTGTGAAGCTAATACATTTCTATATACACAACAATTCTCATGGGCTAAAATTTCATTGGATGTTCATTTTCTATGATCGGCAACTGAAGGGTCTTGCAACTTAATCGGAGCTATTTGATGTTGTATCCACTGCAAAGTTCATGTTTTCTAAGAGTTTCAGCTGGGTTCTCCCTATTAAATATAATTTTGTATCTTGCATGACAGTCATGTAGTGTTTGGGAGTTTTGATTACAGTTTGCCTCAGCTAACTTTTTACATTATGTAAGTTAATTGAAGGAATTGCACCTTTTACATAAAAGACTCTCATTAAAATGTTGCACATAAGTAACTTTTAGTAGACTAGTCCCTGGAATGTCAAACTGAAGCTAATTCATTTATTAGGAGTGCTTAAAAGCCAGTTCTCAATTGAAGTTTGATACAGCCTTTCAGAATGCTTTGAATCATTTTCTGAGCCATTACTGTCTGATTGTCATTTTGTATTTGAAATCTATATTTTGGCCAGGTACTACAGTATGCTGTCTGTTTTCCAGATGTAAGATTTCTCTATAGTCTTGTCAGCAGAACTAATAATTGAAGCTTGGGCTGTTTTATGAGTTGTATTGATAGTCTATCTCTCTAGTAGCTAGTAGTTTTTTAGTAAACCTTTTGTACTGTGCAGTTTCTAATACATGTGTGCGCAAATGTGCGCGCACACACATGCCAGTTTTATTCCTGAATGTCTCTAATGTATTTATCAAGCACATACGCTTTCAAATATGAATGTCCAAATACAGAATAAATCATCAGTTTTATAGCAGAAATACTTTTTCCTTTCTTTTCAGATGCTTTCTTTATGTGGCAGAACTGTCTCTCACCCCCTTATTACTCCATCAGACCTTTTGGAAGCAAGCAGGATGTGTAGAATGGATTCAAAAGCTAATATTGTGCATGGTAAAAATTCCACCATCTCTTCATACTGTGTGTATATATTTATAGTGAATGTGAGTCCTCTGCAAGTGCCAGACTGATTACCTGTGAGATTCTTTTCTTTCTCCCAGCACAAGTACAGGTAAAGGAAAAGCATTTTTATTTTGCAGTGTCCTACCACTGTTCTGAACAAAAGGAGGAATAGCTGTTTTGCTCCCAAGAACTAGAGTTGCAGAAGAACTTGGATGCCACAATACTGCATATTGCAGCACCTGATAGAATCCACAGCCCTAAGCTAGGCAGTGGCCTCCCCATTCAGTGCAGAGGGACAGTTAGGTGCCAGAACATAATATAGGTAGATAGGTAGATAAAATCCTATACAAGTATTTGTGGAAACTGGGACTTCCTCCTTCTTCAGCGAGTGCCTTATACCAGGGGTCACTGACCTTTTATTAAAAGGAGCTACAGCTTCCTATCTAGATATTGCTATGGGCCGTCAATCCCATTCTGCCATCTCTGCTCTGTGTAAAAGGCTGTGTTTGATTTTCACCCCCCCTAATTCAGCCTCCACTGAAAAATGCACTCCCAGAAAGCTTGGCAAATGAGAGTTTGGACTTCCTAATTTGGTGGTGACTGCAAGCAGAGGCTGCAATGGAGGGTGAGGGAACACTGTAGCATGGGGCGGGCAATTATTTCAGGTGGAGGGCTGCTTAACGAGTTTTAGTGAGCTGTCGAGGGCCACAAGGATAGACCCACCCCTTAACAGGTACTCCGCTTCTTGGTTACCATCTTGGGACTGGAAGTCCTGGCCCTCGACCCCTGAACCTTTGCCACCAGAAGTACCTCCCCTTGCCCTCAGAAGTAGGGCTGTGCGAAATGGCTGTGTTTTGATTCAGCTTCAGATTTGGCTGTTTTGGAGGACAGCGATTCATTTCAGTGTTTCAGATCACTGTCCTGTTTCGTTTTGGCCAACTCCATTTTGGAGATTCGGCTCCACTGATTCTCCAAATCTGTTTTGAATGGGCTGCAAAGGAAGCTTTGCACAGCCCTACCCAGCCAGGTGGAGCTGGGGGCTTGGGACCCCAGCAGACAGCAGGATGGGGCCATGTGTGGCTCATCTGGGGTAGGGGAAGGGCCACTGCCCTCTGTGCAGGCAAGGAGACCCCTGCACAGATCTTGATCCCTGTCACGCTGAGTCCTGGGGCAGGGAAGCAGTGTAGAGTGTGGTGAGCAAGCCTGCTGGTCCCTGCCATGCGACACTGCTCCACAGGGAGCAGAGATCTGCACCTGGGGTCTTCTCGCCTCCACTCCCCGCCCCGCATGGCCTGGCTCCACAGGAAGTAGAGATGTGGGGCTGTACAGGGCAGGCAGCGGTGGAGGGGAGACCCTGGCGCCAATCTCTGCTCCCTGCAGAAGCCAGGTCGCACGGAAGAGATCCCTCAGCCTCCAGTTAGATTCCCCAGCTCTTCCCAGGGGAGGTGGGCCCCCGCATCTGCGCGCCAGGTTTCAGCAGGCTGCCACTGCAGGCTGGGGCCAGTGGCAGCACTGCAGTCTTCCCTGGTGCTCAGCATGGGCTGTGCTGAGCAGCTGCCACTGGCCCCAGCCTGCAGTAGCAACCTGCTGAAACCCCACGCACAGATCAGGGGCCCGCGTCCCCTAGGAAGAGCTGGGGAAGTGATAAGAAAGCTGGGGAATTGAACCAGGAGCTAGATGTCAATATCAAAGCAGCCCTCCCCACCTCTTCCCCTTCCTCTTCTTAGCTTCTGCTTCCCCGCAAGCCCGGCTCCAAAACCCTGAAATTCTCCAAAACATTTCCGAAATGTTTTGGAGCCTTCTGATTCATTTCAGAGCTGTTTCGGAGCCTTCTGTTTTGATTCAGATTCAGTGTTTTGGGTGCTGAAACAGCCCCAAATGACTCCAAAACAAAACGGCTGCTGAAATTTCACTCGGCCCTACTCAAAAGTATTCCTTTTGGATGTAGGTGGTTCGGTTTGTGGGGGAGTGTGGGGATGTGTGTGTGGGGGACTGTGAAGTATAGGTGTCGGTTACTTCCATACTAGAATTTTGTTTGCTTTCTGCACTTGTTGTATGTCAACTATAAAAATTTATGTGGGATTTTAGAGCTAATGAAATATGTCTGGATTTAGAGGACAAGAAACTAAAGTTTTGTAGGTATAAAAATGAAAAATGTACCTTTTTCTGCCAAAGGCTAAGAAGTGAACAGGTTTTTGTTTTCCTCCTTCTGTAATTAATCTTGTTTTGTTTATTGCAAGTCAGGCTAAGTGGCCTGGGGGCAATTGGCTCCATGCCCTCCCCACTATTGCATTGTGCACCTGAGTACTGAAGGCAAAGAAAAAAGCGTACTGACAGCAGAAGCAGGGGGCAGGGACAAAGGAGGAGTACACCTCCCTGACCTGAGCTTGTAGGGATTTGGTGAGGAAGGCTAAAGCAGCACTGGAGCTTAGATTAGCTTCTGGGATTAAGGATAACAAAAAGTTCTTTTTCAAGCATGTAGGAAGCAAGAAGAAGTCTCAGGGTAACATTGGACCCCTACGAGGCAGGGCAGGGCAGCTGGTGACGGACACGCGAGAGAAGGCAGAACTCTTCAACAAGTTCTTTGCCTCAGTGTTCCTGTCTGCTGACAATGGGGTGCTCTCGGGTGATAGCGTAGAGAGACCCAGGAAGTACGTGAGTCCCCCGACTGTTAGTTCGGACCTAGTTAAGGACTATCTGGGTCTTAGATGTGTCCAAATCAGCGGGCCCGGATGACCTTCATCCACGGGTGCTGAGGGAATTGGCTGGTGTCATTGTGGAGCCATTGGTGCAGCTGTTTGAGGACTCCTGGTGCTTGGGCCAAGTCCCTGAGGACTGGAAAAGGGCCAGTGTGGTCCCTATTTTCAAGAAGGGGAGGAAGAAAGAGCCTGGTAACTACAGGCCAGTCAGCCTCACTTCTATCCTGGGGAAGGTCTTTGAAAAAATTATCAGGGGCCACATTTGTGGGAGCCCTGCAGGGGAAGTGATGTTGAGGGGTAACCAACATGGGTTCGTGCCATGCCGATCCTGCCTGACTAACCTGGTCTCTTTCTATGACCAGGTAACAAAAAGCTTAGATGGGAAGGAGGAAGTCGATGTCATCTTCTTGGACTTCCAGAAGGCCTTCGACACA